CCTCCCTATCTCTTTCCTTTATGTCCTTAGTTCAATGTTAAACTCTATAGTGATACTTGAGTATTCAGTGTGGATAGATGCTCGTGACTTGTGACACCCCGGTTAGGGCTGTGTTGGGTTGTACTTCCGCACTTTATTGATATCATCCGCTACTTAATATTAGTAAATCATGTTTTAGACTGCTTTGTGTTGTTGAACTGTTTAAAAAGGTAAATTGGGTTTAATTGGCTGGCCTTGTCTTCACGAGAGACGCCATCACGACCGGGTCCGGGAAATAGGGTCGTGACAGAAAGTCGTGTCGCAAGGTGACAAGTTTGTGCACGGGTTAAATATGGGAATTGACAGATTTTAGCTATATAGATTTCTTTCATGCCTTAATTGAGTTACCTTAACATGTTATATTCATTATCATTAGACTATCTTCACATACACTACTTGTCTTATCTCTTACTTATTAATTGTCTTTACATGTTTAGTTGAAGTATTGTTTCGTCTATTCCTTATTCATTATTGAAGCGTTGAGTTCTTCACTTGAAGTTGGTATTCTTGGAATATCTTGTTATTGAAATTGGTATAAAGTTATGAAGGCCGTGATTTAAATTGAGGCAAAGTTGTAAAGTTGTGAAATATTATTCTTGTTGAGTTATTCACCTTCGATTATTATTGTTGAGACTCTTGTATAATTGTGGTTGAGTCATGGGTTATTTGTTGTGAAAACACTATTGTTGTTGGTTTCTTGGCAAGTTGTGATATTGGGCACTTGAGGTGCGATTTGTGATACGTTGTAATTTTGATACGCATACGGTGGTATAAGGATTTGGGGTTAAAACGCATGCGGTGAGATAAGGTGGGCTAGATACGCGTATTGCTAGTAGGGAACTAATTGATACCACGCGGTGTGATAAGGTAGGCTAAAACACCGGAACCTATTTTGAAAATTATAATTTTCAAAACTAAATGCAATGCTCCCGCTTTGATATAAGGAAAGACTGTGAAATGCTTTGTGATTTGAGACTACGAGGCGGTACTTCGCTAGTGACTCTTGTTGATGCTTTTCTTTACTTCACTTGTGTTTTGGTTGCTTTGTTTCCTTGGCATAACATTCCTTGTTTTTCTTCCGTGATACATCATTTGCCTTAGTTCAGTGTAGCAAATCTCGGTGTATTTCTTTTTTTTATTTTTGGTAAATAAAGAATTTTATTACCAATTGGTCATTATGTACATAAAGAGAAAAAAATAGCAGACTGTTGAACTTATTGTTCCAACTGCTGACGCTAAGTAAAACATCTACTCCTGCTACTACAAACTTCTACTACTACCCTAGTGCTAAGGATAAAAGTTCAACATTTCCAATTTCCGAGCAAGCCTTGGCTTCATTGATCCCCTGCAACAAACTTCTTGAATGATTTGCTTTATAATAAGATCTGGTGCTGAATAGTTATCTTGAAACACCCTTTGATTTCTTTCCCTCCAAACATAATATATACTTGCTGCAAGTGCTATCCTATAAACTTCTGCTTTAGAGCTTCTCCCTTTTGCATGTTCTTCCACCCACTTTAATTCCTCCGACCAATCCATGGCCTTCTTGTTTACTCCTTGCCAGAACAATATTTTATTCCAAATATAAGCAGCATAGTCACATTGAAAAAATAAGTGTGAAATACTCTCGATCCCATTATTGCATTAAGGGCAAGATTGTGCTACATCCATTCCCCCATGAAGTAATCTATCTCTGGTAAGTATTTTCCCATGTGCCACCAACCTCAATATGAATACCCATTTAGGAGCTCCTAGATTATTTCATACTAGCTTCCTCAAAAAAACCTTATGAAATTCTCCCCTCAGTTTAGTGCACAGTTGTTTAATAGAGAAGATTGTCAAGGACTCAAATTCAATTGCACCCATTCTTATTTGTTCAACATATCTTCTGGCCTTTAGTATTTTTTGAACCACCCATGATGCTTGTCTTGGTGATATAACTCACACATGTCTGTCCTTTATATAGTAACTGTGAATCCATTTTACCCACAAGCTATCTTTTTTAGTGCATAATCTCCATAGAAGCTTGCATATTGCAGCTTTATTCCAACATGCAACATCTAAAGTATTTAGCTCTCCAGCAACTTGTGGGTAGAAAACTCTATCCCATGCTAGTAATGCCTTTTTTGATGCCTCCACCCCACCCGACCACAAGAATTTTCTACAAGTTGCTTCAATAACTTTGACAATCTTTGTAGGTAGCAAAAATATCTGTGACCAAAATACTTGAATGGAAAACAACACATTTTTTATCAATTGACCTCTCCTTGCATGGGGTAGTAATTTTGATGTCCAACAGTGGATCTTTCCTATCATTTTTTCAAGCAGTGGTTGGCACCGGATCACTGAAAGTCGTTTAGTGCTTAGAGGCACACCAAATATCTAATTGGCAACTCGCCTTTTGCAAAACAAGTTACTTCTATAATATGTGATTGCACTGCCTACCCCACACCTCCAAAATATATAGATACTTTTTTCTCTATTGGCGACAAGTACTGAAGCTAAGGAAAACTCCTGGAAGCATTCAAATAGCATATGAACAAACTTTACATCACCTTTGGAGAAAAGAAACAAATCATCTGCAAATCCCAATTGAATAATTTTCATTTTCTCACATTTTGGGTGGTAATTGAAATCAGGCTCATTTCTCAATCTCTTCAAAATTCTACTAAAGTATTCCATCACCAATACAAACAAGAATGCAGATAATGGGTCCCCTTGTCTTAATCCTTTCTTTGCACCAAAAGCCTCGGTGTATTTTTTTATTGTCTCATTTCTATTGTTATCATTATTTCACTGTTATATACCCGTTCAATTTCTTATTTATTCTAGTAGGGCCTTGACCTGATCTCGTTACTACTCTACCGAGGTTAGGCTTGGCACTTATTGGATACCATTGTGGTGTAATCATGCTACGCTTCTACACATCTTTTTGTGCAGATCCAGGTACCTCCTACCAGTCCAGGCACTAGTGAGACGAGCCCAGTTCGGAGACTTCAAGGTATACCTGCTGGCGTCCGCATGCCTCAGAGTCACCCTCTATCTAGTCTATTTTCTTTTCTTATCCTTTTATATACACTGATGTATAGGGATGTTCAGTACCATCTCATAGAGCTAGTGACTTGTAGTCACCGGATTTGGGAAGTTGTGTTCGGTTTAGTTACGGAGGTTCTTTATATGATAGTGGTTGAGTTATTTGAAGGTTCTTAATAAATTTTCAGTTAATATCGTATGTATGTTAAACTTACCTACTCTTAGAAACTAGGTGTCATCACAACATCCTAAGGAGGAAAATTGGGATCGTAAAAAGTTGGTAACAGAGCTCTAGGTTCATAGGTGTTATGAGTCACAAGCAGGTTTAGTAGAGTCTCGTGGATCGGTGCAGACACATCTGTACTTATCTTCGGGAGGCTATAGAACTGTTAGGAAAAACATCACTTCTTTGATACTTTATCGTGCGAATTTGTTGACGTCGAAATTTCAAATCTATGTAAATGCATAAATACCCCATTCAACTTGTCCTGGAAAGTCATTTACACACCTAAACTTTACGGGCGTCCTAACACCCCCACTATTTTTTAAAGAACTGTATTTATTTACTCCCTCCTTATGCCTGGCCAGCCGCGCGTGTTTGACAACTGAATTGAGCGCGTCCTAACTCTATTAATCGTTGAAAACACCCCAAAAAAAAGAAATAAATAAATCTTTAACGTTAATATAACCTCAACCAACGGTAAAATCCCCTCTTCCCCAATATTTTACCAAACCCAATTGAAGAACCCTAATTTCTTCTTCTTCTAATTTCTGCCGAGAATCTCTCAAATTGCCCTTTTGAAGTTTTAATCTTTGAAGGCAAAGGTTAACCTTTCTCCTTCTTAAGAACCCTAATTTCTTTTCTTTTAATATTGTTATGCCTTTGCCCTAAATTCCAATTATCCGATTTTATGAAAGCTAATGCAAATTATCTGACTTTGATATTTTCTTGTTGTGTTGTAGTTGTTGCAATGCCTTCAAAAGGCTTGAATTTGACAAGGCTTTGCACGCAAGAGGAAGAAAATGAGTCAAGTGGAGAAATTCGATGCAACCATGGCTATGTGCTGCCTTTGTTAACAGCTTGGACCCCTCGGAACCCAAGAAGAAGATATTGGGTTTGTCCATACTATAGGGTAAATGATAGTGAAAATTCTTTCATTAATTGAGTTGTGAAAAATTATCATTCATTAATTTCCTTTTGTTATTCATCTTAGGGTCCACGATCTTGTGATTTTTGGGTTTGGAAGGATTCCGAAATTGATCCTAGGTCCAAATTTGTTATTCCAAAATTGCTGGACAAAATGGGTGAACTTGAGAATGCATTAGAAGGCTTTGAAAATCTTGCCAAGCCGAGGACAACTTTAAAGGTTGAAAATACCATAGAAGAGGACAAGATGAAGAAGATTGAGGCTCAATTGGTGAAATTGCAAGATGATATGGAGAAGATGAAAGAGAAGGAAAAGAAATGGAAGAATAAATTAGTTAAGTCAAAGGCTAGGGAAAATGTACTTTGGTTCATTATATTGGGGATGTGTATTATTCTTGTTGCTTGTGGGTATCCCGGAATCTCATTGAAAGAAGATGCAATGAGGTTGCCATTGTGAATCTAGTTTTGTCATCTCAATATGAATGTAGTTGTTGGTTGTAGGATTTATTTTGTATGTTTACAATGGAACTTATGTAAGCCTTTTGTTGTTTTGTCATCTCAATATTTTGTAGTATTCTCATCTCAATATGTAATTGTAGTTCTTGCGTATCAATTAATGTTTCAATGCATCTTACCAAACGACTCCAAAGTCTGTACTTATCAAAGGTTTAGAATAGAGATGTATGAAAACTTGTGAAGGAAGAACTTTTTGTTTCCACAACTGAAGGAACACATTTCATGGCAAACACACATACTATCAACCTGTACAACTAATAGATCACTAAAACATCATATATGCATTTCTTGCATAAAAGCCACAAAATGAGTTAACAAAACAGCTGTTTGTTGTCATTGTAGCAGCAGCAAAACAGACACCAAATGTAACAAAATAGCAGTCTATAGCTACCAACAAATCCTTATCAAAATACAGAATTGCAGTCTATAGCTACTTCAAATTGCAGTCTAGTTCAGTCTATTGCAATACAGTCATCAAACAAAAGCAAAGCTTCATCAGCTGGGTTGATTTGCAGTGGTGCTTTCCTGGGTCAACTTAGCAGCCCTAGACCTTGTTTGAATGAGCTTCTTGCCTCTCAATTGTTGAAGCTGCCTTGATGTCATAACTTCTTTACCTTTCCATTTAACACCTCGGGGCCTAGATCTCCAGTTACTTCTGCCGAGGACCTCACATTCTTAAAGTTTGTAGATGACATTCCAGGCTGCCAAAACCCAACAGAAAATCAGACAAATGAAATCACCTATATATGAGAGTTTGTGTTAGACTTACATTTTGAATCTTGAAGCCACTTTGAGTGTGTAAAACTCCCATCCCAACCATCCTTGGTTTCTTAAATTGTGTTCTTACATCAGTGCTAGTACCAACATCCTACATCAAACAATCAAAATTAAAAATCTGGGAATTTTTTAAAAAAGAGAAAAAAGACATTAAAGGGAAGAACTTCACCTTTTCTTTAGAACCTTTTGGCCTACCCCTTCCTCTTGCAGTACTTTGCTTTGGTGGCTTTGAACTACCAACACTTGTAGGCACAGAATTTGCTGAAGTTGCAGCAGTATTACTTCCAGCAGCCTTTGACATCCCCTCTTGTTATGACCCTTGTTATGACAATTGCTACATGTCATAACAACTCCACTTTTGGACAATTTTCCTGTCTTATTTTCACCAGGCTCTTTTCTTCTAACCTTCTTTGGCCTTCCAGGCATCTTCTTGACATGAGGTGGTATAACAGTTGGGTTTTGTGACTCTGGCCACATATTCATACCCAAGACAGGCTGTAGAAAGTAACTGTATGTTTTCATGTAAGTTGCATTACTGTACCAATGAGAAATATAGTTCATAGGCTCAAGATTTTTAAAATGCAGGGCAGCAACTGCATGAGCACATGGTATGCCTTTTAACATCCAAGCTCTGCAGGTGCATGTTTTCCTGTTGATGTCCACTAATTGCTTCACTTCACTTGCACCTGATCCTTGCTTCACTTCAAATCCATACTCACCATTCCAGAAAATGTTACATTTCATTGACCTTTCTGTGTTCTCTTCCAAGACTTTCATGGCCATTGGTGAAAAATCAGTAATCCAAGTGTTTCAAAATTGTCTGAGCTGACCTATTCTGTTCATCATCTTCACCCTTATTTCTTCAAGCATTGTCACTATAGTCTTCTGCCTTGCTGCCAAAATCCAAGCATTGAAACATTCTGTCATATTATTGTCAACACTATCACACTTGCAGAATGTGTTGAAATACACCTTACTCCATCTTTCAATGTTGTAGTACAACAGTTCATCAACTATCTTAGACCCCAATTTCTTCATGTCATCCAGATTTTTCTTCAACTCCCATTCATAGGTAGACCTTGCACACCTCCAGAAGCAGTTCCTTCTCTCTATACCCCTCCATTTCTTAGACCAGTTAGCTAGGATGTGCCTTGCACACATCCTATGCTCAGAATTTGGAAGTAGGTCTGCTATAGCATTCTCAAGCCCCTGGAAAATTAACAATGGCAGTTAGTATTAAGTGAAACATCAGTAGAAAAATAACAACAAACTACAAGTGATTACCTTTTGCATGTCTGTTATTATTGTCAGATTGGTACCATCTCCAAGCTGAAGATCACTCTTTAAAAGGCTGACAAACCACCTCCAAGTGTGCATATTTTCAATCTCAACAACAGCCCAAGCAAGTGGAAGCATCTGATTATTTCTATCTTTGCAAACTGCTACAAGTAGTTGGCCTCTACATACCCCTTTTAAAAAACATCCATCTAATCCAATGCATGGCCTACAACCAGCTAAGTATGACTTCTTCATTGCCTCAAAACAAATGTAGAACCCAACAAACATTTTCTTCCCACCTTCAAAAGTTTCTTCACTAAGTTTCACTACATATGTACTACCTGGATTTGATCTAAGCAACTCATCCTTATAATCTAAAATCCTACCATACTCTAGTTTATGATCACCCATTATCTCATTCAACACAATATTTTTTGCCCTCCTACAAACTGTCCTCCCAACATATAATCCCAATTTCTTTCTAATCAACTCTTGAAACTTGAATATTCTAATGTTAGGTTGTTCTTTTATCCTCTCATTGAACCTTTTAGCCAAGAACTTTGAATTACATAGCTTGTTTCTGTTAGTAGGGTCACATTTGTGAACTGGATTGTAGTTCTTGACTACAAAATCCTTAGTCCTAGAATCATAACTAGCAACTAGAAGCCAAGGACAGGATGTCTTCTTGCACTTAACCCTCACCCTTGTAGGTTCATTTACATACTTTTCTATAGAAACCTTTTGTTGAACAGCATATTTAGTTACAGCTTCTCTGAAATCTCTCACACTTGCAAATGCAAGTCCAGTTTCCCAAACTATTTTCTTGCAAGTCTTGTCAAATATTACTCTTCTTTTAGTCTTTCTTCTTCTAGCTTTAACTTTCTGTTGAACCTCCCCTTCACCTTCATCATCAACATCATCTGGATCTGTCTCAAAACTAGCAGCTTCATCTGAGAGGTAATAAGGCTCATCACCACCTATCTTACCTTCTAAACTCTTCTTCTTCCTAGATTCATATTCATCATACCCCACATCTGGCCCTCTCTTACCTAGTTTAACATGTTCTTGTTCAGGAGCACTTTCTTTCCTCTTCCTCCTCTCTACAGTCCTTCTTTCTGCCCTAAATGCCCTGTATTCCTCATGTGTATCACTACCATAATCAGCTTCTCCTTCTTCAAACAACTCCTCATGGTCTGAATCTGAGCTGTTATCAGTGCTGCTACTAGATTCAGATGACTTTGATTCATATGAGGAGTTTGAACTATCATCAGTAGTAACAGCTGTGGGCACACTATTATTGGCACTATTTTCAGCAGTATTGGAAGCCTTTTCAGAAGTTCCCAAACCCTCACAGCCCCCTAAATCTTGACCAGATTCCTTCTCAAAAGTAACATTACTATCATCCACAACTTGGCTGGCATATTCTAATAGAGGGGGGACCACTACAGCTTCTTCAACCATGTGATCTACATAAACCTCCAAAATATCCCCACTTTTTAAATCTTGACAAATACCCATAAGGTCCCTAACAACCTTAATTACTACCAAAGCAGGACAATTAGGTGGTCTAACATAAATAACAGCAGAAGAACTATTGTAACCAAACTCTTTTACATAACCTAAAAACTCAAAATATGAGAACCTATCAACATCGACATCAACACAATCAGTAATCATCCCACCAACATAATCCTCCACTGAAAATGAATGTAACTTATCCGTGGAGATTTTTCCACCATGGAAAAACCTTAGTGTAACAAGTACAAAAGACATTGAAATACCTGAATATAGTAGAAAATCAACTAATTAAATTGTGTAATTACTATTAGACCCCTACACAAGAAGTCAGAATACATGCAACAAGAATAAAACTGAAAATTGATTATTATTACACCTTAAAAATTGTATTTCAGTTCCTCGATTTTACATTGACAACATTACAGTGAAGAAATTTGCAGCAACTTCAGAACCCTAGATATGGATGATATTAAACAAACTAAAAAAGAGATAACATTTAGGGTTGATGATAGAAAAGGCTAGGGTTGATGTGTTTACCTCCAAACTAAAACAAATATACCGTTTGCACTTATTCTTCAGAGACCTTCAACTTCGAACGGGTCTTCAACCAAATCGTCAAATGAAACAATTAAGAACAAACGGAAAGTACCAGGAAGAACGAAATCGAAGGGTTTTGCAACAGATCCCTTCGATTTTGGTCAGGCAAATTGATTTTGGAGAGGCTAATCGAATCTTTGAGGGTGGGTAGGGTTCTTCAATTTTGGGAATTTTTCACTGAGGGGGGTTAATGGGTTAATGAGTTTTGTTTGTAAAATGTTATGTTTATGTTTATTTACGGAAGGATTTAATTACGTGGCTTCATTTTAAAAGCGCGTGTTTTCCACTTACGTTATTATAATTGGGCCAGGCATAAGGAGAGAGTAAATAAATACAGTTCTTTAAAAAATAGTGGGGTGTTAGGACGCCCGTAAAGTTTAGGTGTGTAAACGACTTTCCAGGACAAGTTGAATGGGGTATTTATGCATTTTCTCTTCTATTTTCTCACAGATGGCGATGTTGATACCCAATTTTTCCCTATAATATTTTTTAAAGTACATATATACTTTCAAAACTATGCATTAGCATCAATCGATATTTTTTCATAATTTCTATATTTAAATTGATTTTATCCTAGTATTTTATTTACATAAATGATTATAAATCGCATCACAAATGGCTTTATAGCTTTCATGACTTAATATTGCTATTTATAGTTATATTAAGTTCAAATTATTTCACAAATGGCGACATTTACACCTTTTGGTTACAATTCCACTAATTTTGTAATTATAGCCCATGTATACATCACTGCATTATTTTACCAGAAATTGATCCATTATATTTTTACAATATTGAATAATTATTTTAAAGCACTTCTATGCATGACTTTTTTTTCTTATTGATAATTATTTTATAAAATATTTTTTATCAATTATTTTGGTATTTAACAAATAGCCTTTTTATTTCAGAACTAACCTCTTTTAATACCAGCCCAAACCCCTTTAATATTACCCCAAATCCCTAAATATACCAGCCCAAACCCCTTAAGCCCAATCTGTATACACCCGACCCAATAAAACTTTTTAATCGTGGCCGTTGATCCTTTTAATCAACGGTCTACGATTAAACTTACCATTTTAATTCACCTAACCCTAACCCCCTCTTCATTTCTCTTCAACTGCCGTCACCCGTTTCCTTCACCCTTCCAGTTCTCTCTTAACTCGCCCTAACCTTAATTGCCGTCACCAGTGAAGACCTCCCTTCTATGGTGTTTCTGTGCCTTCTCCGACCACCACTGGTCTCCTATACTCCCTGGCTCTTTGATTTCATGAGTCCTTAGAAGAATCTCATGGAAGATTCAACCTTGTTTGGCCTAAAATTATTTACTAGCCTGTCTCAGGCCACTTTCGTTTGTGATTATGGATTTCCTCTTGCATTTAAGTATGAATCCGTGGATTTTTGACCGATTCTCTTCATCTCAGTTATTTTCTGAAAACCCTAGTTTCACTATTGTTCGATTCTTCTCAGATCTTCATAGATCTGAGGTGATTCGAGTATTATTAGGTGTTTTCCTCAGAAAATCTCTTGTTTAAATAACTACTTCGATTTTTAGTCACTCTTTCTAAACTAGGGTTCTTCCCAGACATTCTTCAAAAGATTTTCTACTTTTAATGTTTTATCTGTTCATCTCTTTATGTATTTGGTTAATCTTTGTATGTATGCTTGAACCCTAGATGTTTCTAATGGTTACACTGATTTCTTCTATTATGTTAATTTCTATGAATCAGTTGCACTCACTGATTCTATTTAGGGATTTAAATATTTTCCCTGTTAAATCCAGTATTCTTTGGGATTTTTGCCCTAATTGATCTCTACAGATGATTCGAACCAGCTTTTCTTATTAAATCCGGTATTTCTGTGAGGTTTTACTTAATTGATTTATATTTAGGGAATCTGAATAACTCTTTCCTATAAAATCAGTATTCTTTGAAGATTTTACTGATTGATTCCTATTAAATGTCCTGTTAAAATCAGTGTATGCTGAAATTTTATTTGTATCTTTATTTGTGACCTTAACTGATTATACTTACCTTAATTAGTTATCAGTATGGTTTTGGGATTTCTACTGACTCCCTACATGGAATGTTTTTGAGTCCTTACCTTAATTGGACCCCCTGTTGTGACCGTTAATTGATTGCCCCCTAATTAAGGGGTCTATTCCGGACTCCTCTATGGGAATTATTCTGTGACTGATTAATTGCTCCCAATTGATTGAACTGTGATTTTTTTACCTTATTTGGATTCACCCATTAAGTGCTGTATAAACTCTTTTATTTTTACCTCTAGACGAACAGTAGTTTAGAATACACGCAAACACATTCAAACACTCTCTCTTTCTTTGCTACTTGCGCTGATTGTGGGCCTAGCCGACTGAAAGCCAAGGCTAG